TTTTTTTTTTTTTTTTTAATTATTAAATATTAAATAATTAATTTAATTATTATTATTAAATATAACAATTAAGATTATTATTATAAATTATAAATAAATAAATAAGATTATTTATATTGTAAGAGTAATTAATTAGTATAGATTTACTAACGAATATAAAATAATTATAATAATAATAATAATAGAGTGAAGAAAACAATGATAAGTAACAGTAAGAAAAATAAAAATAAAATTCACACCCACGCATTAAAAATATTTCATATAACAATTGAGAAGTATAAACAATAATAAACTTGTACATATTAACCATTAAATAAATAAATAAATAAATATACGCCAGTTAGAGCTTTCTATTAGAAATCTATCAATTTTTTTTTTCCTGCTTTAACATTCATTTTTATTCAACAATTATTTCTTCTTTAATTAATAACAGATTTAAATATATATTGTCTATATATTAAGCATAAGTAATGTAAGCGTTTAAATATAGACATGTGATTAAATATATAATTATAAATTATTGAGTCTACTATAATTAAATATATATATATCTGTAAATATTTTCATAAATTTTTTATGACATTAGTTAGCAGTAATTTGATAATTTTTTAATTTTTTTTAACAAACAAATTTCTTCTAAAAAATTGCATTTTTTATTATGACATTAAAGTTAGCAGTCACTTAAATTTTTTTTAACAAAAAAATTTGTTGCAAAAAATAATTTTAAAAAAATTGCATTTTTCATTTATTAAAATTTCTTCATGTCAATTTTTTTTTCTAATTTTTTTTTTTTGCCATAATTTATTTGCTATAAAATTTTTTAAAATTATTAAATGTACTAAATGAATTTTCATTATTTTTTTTAATTTTTCTACAAGTCAATTTTTTTTGCTCCAATTTATTTGTTAAAAAAATTATAAAAATGATCAAATATCTGCTAAATTAATTTTCATAAATTTTCTTAATTATTTTTAACATAACTAAGAATGACTTTGGTCTATACTTTTACGGTCGTCAACATTAGGGCTCTTGTCACCATCATCAGTGTCCGAAGAAGACGATGAAGATGGATCCTGTGGTAAGTTAATACCTTGAGTGAGAAGACTAGTTATCTTCTCAACATCCACGGTGTCATCTTGCTCATGAATTTTCTTGAGTGCATTTGAGACAATACAAAGGTCGCCGCGCAGCTCGCTGACCAACGCGGTTATTTTTTGGGCATCTGTCAGAACTTCAACAGACTGGGTGTATGCGTTGTATCGTAGGCCAAACGGACGTTGGATCCCGTTGGCAAATGCTCTGAATAATAATTCATTTTTATTATAATTAATTATAAAATTAGCTCGCGTACACTACTTTTATCTTCATATATATGTTTAATTTAATTTAATTACCTCATTTTTTCTTTAGCTTCTTCAATACTGTCGGTGTAATAATATGCATGTTGGTAAGCTGTAATAACACATTCTTGTTGACATGTAACATCAGGCTCAAAGCGGTAAATTTTATCTTTAGCCTCCAAAACATGCTTTATTTCTGCAACTGACGACAACAATCCTGCACCGTAGATCCGCAAATCGCCATCTTGCTTACATAATCCAAATTCCACAGTGAAGAAATACAGCTGATTTTTTTTAAGTATAAAAAAAACATTATTTATTAAAATTATTATGAAAAAAATTCAACAATAAAATTTTAGATGTGAAAACTCAAAAAATTATCAGTAGAAATTTTTTTTAAGCAGTTTTGTTCTTTTTCATGATTGAAAAAAATTGACAGTTAGCTAACTTCAATAATGACACTGAAGTATGAAAATTAAAGTAGTAGATAATATAATAATTTTTAGAATTTATCTGAGAAATAAATTACTGCAAAAAAAATAACATGTAGAAATTTTTAAAAATTAAAAATGCTTAAATATCATCACTGAAGCTAACAGACATTGTAGTTTTTTTTAATAATTTTATAGAAATTGAATTATTATATGTAAAAAGTTTTTTTTTTTTTTTATAGTAATTGATTTGTTGTAAAAATTAAAAAAATTTACATTTGTCAACTAACTTCAATGTCATTAATTAATAGTTAATTATTAAAATTAAATAGATAGAATTTAGATAAATGTAGTTACTGTGGCTAATTTATTAATATCTTCTTCAGAAGCTCCTAAAGAAGCTAATCCTAGTTCTTGAGAAAATTGCGCAAAGCTTGGATTCGCTAACAATGGCATGTGGCCTAATAATTCATGACAGCAGTCACTAAAAAAAATGTATTATTTTATTTTATTTATTTAATTATTTATAATAATAATAAAAATAATTAATTTATTTATTACGGCTCAGGTGTGTAAAATGGATCCGACGAATGACGTATGTATTGAGTGCAATGGAAGACGCGAAAAGCCAACCCGGCTAAAAAGTCCCGGGGTGATAAATATCCAGCAACTGGACGTAATTGAAAGCCAGTCATTCCTATCAAAAAACAATTAATTAATTAATTAATTTAATTATTTATTAAGAATTTTAAATTTTTAAATGCACTCACGTTTTAAAAATACTGACACATCTTCTAGTTGAGGAATATTGTCTTCTCTGATAATTTAATAATTTAATATAGGTAATTATAAATGTATAAAATTTTAATTAATTTTTAACGTACCTGTAACCGCAATATTTACTTAATTTAGGCCAATTTTCTAAATATTCTTTGCATGCGTGCTTTAAATACAGTTGATAAAGCTCGCGAAAAACAGTAGCCCTGAAAAAAATATAAATAAATTATGTAAAGTATTAAATTTATCATTTCAAATAAATTTTACAATAATAAATTTAAAGACTTTAGTAATAACAAAGTAAATGATGTTTAGTAAATGAATGAGCTTTCTTCGAAAGTAAGTTTGTCAAATCAAATTAGGGCAATTTGTGTGTATTCAGGGTATATCCATCTTATCAGAGTTGTATAGATTGCTAGTGCTAAGTTTAAAGTAAACGAGTATTGTGAGTGTAGCGTAGGTTTTTATTTTATTATTAGGTTCATAGATGAAAAAACACGATCATCTGAACTTGGATAATGATAGAAATTTTTTAAATTGTGAAAAAATTTTTTTTACTGTTATACTTACCATGTATTTATTTCTTCTGGGGTGTATTGAATTCTTGGAATCGGTTGCCCGCTGTAATTATTATTATTATTATTATTATTATCTATATTATTAAGAGAATAAGAAAAATTTTGTTTCTAGGATAAGTCATGCATCCTTAAAAATATCAATAATTAAGAAATGACCTTGTATCTTGTGAACTACTCACCTTTTTAAAGATATAAGCTCACTCCGACATTACACTCATCAAGAGCTTTCATTTGAGTACCCACATCAATTTTTCATATATTTTATATATATTATATATATGTATATATGAAAAATATATCAAAAATGCATGTGGGTACTCGAATGAAAGCTCTTGATGAGTGTAACATCGGGATGAGCTTATATCTTTAAAAATGTCAAGAATTAAGAAATTACCTTGATTCTTGTCAACTACTGATCTTTTTAGAGATATAAGCTCATCCCGATGTTCCGCTCTTCAAGGCCTTTCATTTGAGTACCAACATCAATTTTTCATATATTTTATATATTTATATATATTATATATATGTATATATGAAAAATATATCAAAAATGCATGTGGGTACTCACATGAAAGCTCTTGATGAGTGTAATTTCGGGGTGAGCTTATATCTTTAAAAATGTTAGTAATTGACAAAATACAATGTCATTTCTTAATTATTGAAGTTTTGAAAGATATAAGCTCATCCCGATGTTACACTCATCAAGAGCTTTCAATTGAGTACCCACATG